CCAGGAGCCTCAGGGCGACATGATAAATTCGGTTTAATAAAAAATCCCAACACAAAAGATGAACCAGAGAAACCTGAATCTGTGGGCAGCATCAGGAAGTAAAAATAAACTGGTCCCTATTGGGAAATCACTTTTTTTTTTTTTTTTTACCAGGGATGAAACTCCTGTCCTTGCATTTATGAGGCAGGTGGCAGCAATACTGAGCTAAATCCCTGGCCCGGGAAATCCCTCTTCATGCAGTGTTCTGGGTCTGTGTCACACTGGGAATTTTTTCTGTATGTTTGTGAGTGTCTCTGTCCAGTAGACTCTAGATTCAGATAAACAGACCTTCAGGTCCCAATAGTATTGGAACCATTCTGGCACAGGAGAGCAGGCTGAATGTTAGTCAGCTTTCTGTCACTTGGTTACATGAGATCCAGAGTATAATCAGTGGTCTTTTTAAAAGAAATCTGCCAAATGTTTGTCTGCAGAGCGCATTCTGTAAGGCGCTGCTATAGTTTGGATCTCTGTCCCCCGAGACCCCTGTTAGGCTTGGCTCTCTTTAGAACCACCTAAGGCCTACCATCTTGGCATTCCTGTGAGGTGGGGCACCTTCAAGATGGGGTCCCATGGGAGGTCCTTGAGTCATCGAGGCTGAGTCCTTGCAGGGGCTGTGGGACCTCAGAGGTAAGTGGCTGTGCTCACCTGAGTCCATCATGGTGTGCTGCCTTGCCGTGGTCCTAAAACATTATGAAGAGACCATGGGCTGAAACTTCCACAACAGCAAGCAGAAATAAAACTGTACTCTTTATAAGTTGATCATCTCAGGGATTTGAGATAGAAAGCTGGCCAAACCCTAGTTTCTACTCTAGTCTTCTGTTACTTCCTCCAATTGCTGAAGCTCTGGGGATGCTGGCAGAGCAGAAGCAAACATATCAGTGCAGCAGTCCTGGATCTGTGGTTGGACTCTCCATGGCTTTGGTTTCCTAGAGTCGACTGCTTCGTGTGGCTCTGCAATCCTTCCTCTGAAATGTAGAGCAGTGCTACATCATAGTACATGTACCGTGCAGGTCCCCGCCACACAGGCCCTGTGTGATCTCACGTCAGCGCAGGTGAGGGCATCTCAGTAACATATTTTGAAAGAGTGAGAGGCTGGATTCACATGATTTTATCAAAGTATTGTTATACCTCTCTTTTTTGTTAGTAGGTATTCTTGTTACTATCTTCCTATGTCTGACTTGTAAATTAAACTGTCACAGATACTGTCAGTCCATGGAGTTAGGAGTCCACTGAGGACCTCAAAACTTGTGCCCTGTGGATAAGGGAGAACACTGTACCATAGAGCAAAACAGTACTTCAGAGGAATTACTGTCCAGTTCTTCTCATGTATGTTCATGGACTGATGATAATTAGGAAATTATTCTGCTATGATAAAATAAAAGACAAAGAAGCAGGGTAGTGAGTTTTGTTTGAAGCTAAAATCAGTTGGAAGGGATTTTGTTTTTGAGAGTCTGTCCTACTTTTCTTATTTTCAGAAGGTCTTTTCATGGGGATTTGGAAGTTAAAACCCTTGTGCTCTAACTTCTCATTTCTGCCCCTCCCTGCCAGCCAAGAAGGGGCTCAAGTTGCCTCCAAAAGAGAATCAACTTTTCAGTTTTTGTCTAGTAAAACACTAACTACAGGCTCGCTCTTTTGAAGTGGAGATGAAAAAAAATCTTTGTTAAGCTAGGAGGGAGCCCCGCTTAAGCAAATCTGAAACCAGATTCAACCAGGTCTCTTCTGTGAGGCCAGGCTGACTCACACCTAGTCGCCAGCAGAGGAGGTGAAGCAGAAAAGAGAACTCTCGATCTGTTGAAGTGGACCCAGCTAGCTCTGCTTACCCAATAAAGATCAGATCAGCCATAGTGAAGCGTAACTCAGAACCTTGGCCAGCGGAAGACCACACATAAAACCACTGGTATCACCGATGAGGTGAGCCGCTTCCTTTGAGATGGCATGGAAGTGGAATGAAGCTTCTGTGTTGGCCTAGAGGTAGATGTGTCAGGTGGGGAGCTCCTTCCTCCTGGGCCAACATGGGAAATCACAGGAGAGCTGGAAAACTTCCGGTATTTGCTGACAGGGCCCTGAGAGGCCCTTAGTGGTCTCCCCGTAGTCTCCCAGCACAGACAGCAAAGGGTCCTGAACTGTTTTTATTTCAACCATCAGGATAAATAGGATGCTTTTCTATTAAGTAAAAAGTTTAACAAAGTACATTTTACATAAGAGACACTGTCTTACCATTTCTAAGTGCGCAGTTTGGGACATTCGGTGCACTGGCACTGTTGTGTGGCTGTTGGCATCACCTGCCCCACCTCCCCTTCATCTTCCCAAACTGAAAGTCCAGCCACAGAGCAGGAACTCCTCATTCCCTCCTCCTGGCTCCTGAGCAGGCATTCCTCCGGCTGTCTCTATGAATCAGGCCACCCTGAGTACCCCATGTGTGTGGAATCGTGCTCTGTTCATCTCTTGGTAACCAGCTTTGTCACTTACTAGGATGCCCTTAAGCTTCACCATGTTGTTGTGTGGGTCAGAATTTCCTCCCTTTGCAAGTCTAAATGGTGTTCTCTTGTGTGTATACAGCAGTTTCTTCTCTGAGGGATTTGAGTGTGGCAGGTGCTACCTGGGGCACCCATAGTTCTGGGAATGTCTTAAGATTGCACGGCAGTTGGACCATCTTCCTGGACACAAGGCTGGAAAGAGCATGGAGACATGGAATCAGTTTCGTACCCTGGCAGATAGACAGTGACAGTGACCACGAATTAAGAAGGGCTTAGCTCAGTGGTACAGTGCTTGTCTAATATACCCTGGAGTCCATCCCCAACACCCCCCCCACACACACATACACATCAAGGATTGCCTGTCCAGTTGCTGGGCACATATTTTGTGGTACTGCAGATTGAATTCAGGACTGAGCTACATCCCCAGCTGTTTTTCTATTTTTTCAGAGTCTCATGAAGTTGCTCAGTTGTCCAGGCTACACTCAAACTTGCAGTCCTCCTGCCTCAGCCTCTTAGAATTTTGAGACCACAGGCGTGAGCCATCACGCCCAGCTCATTGGGCACCATGGCTTCTCTCTGAGGATACATCCTGGTGGGAACTTGAATGTGCACTAGCCTACCCCTGAAAGTGCCATTTTCCCCTTCTATTCTTTCTTTTTCTCTTGTCCCTTGCCCCCCACCTTGTTCCCCTTCTCATTTGAGCATTTTCTTCTTATTTCCCAGTGTCTATTTTACATTTCAGTCCTTATTTCCACTTTCAGTTTCTCACACCTGAGAAACAATGCGGTATTTATTTCACTTGGGAGTGTGTTCTCAAGGTCCATCCATTTAGCTATAAATGTGTGAAGCTCATCCTTTTTTATGGCAGAGTTTAGTACTCCATCATATAAAAAAAACCCACACCTTCTTTATCAGCTCATTGGCTGATGGGCATTTGGGTTGTTTGCAAGACTGAGGTATTACAAACTGTGCTGCTATATAGCCGGGCATAATAGCACACACCTGTAATTCCAGCACTCGGGAGGCTGAGGCAGGAGGATTGCTGTGAGTTCGAGACCAGCCTGGGCTACATAGTGAGATCCAGGTCAGTCTCAACTACGTAGTGAGAACCCTGTCTCAAAAAAACCAAAACAAAATAAAAACAAACTGCTGCTATAAACATGGGTGCGCACACATAACTGTATGTATGTATGCATGTATGTATGTATTGTATGGTACTGGACTAGGATGCTCAGGAAGGAGGCCATTCTGCTGTTGGGAGCATGTCCTTGGGCCAGGCATGTGGCCCAGGACAGTAATCCTAGCATTCCCATTACATGGTGAGCTCGAGGTCAGCCTGGTCTGATAGAACCCCTTCCCCAATAAACCGTGTCCCTGGGAAGCTGGTGCCTGTCGGACGGAAAATCTGATGGGTAGAAATGCTAAGCATTCATGTGTTCATGCTTTACCATGGTTGAAGGAGATCATCTTTAGAATTAGACCTTTTCTTTGAAAGTGTTCAGGTAAGTTTGGCACTGCTGGCTCTGCATTATCTGGAGTATTTTAGATTTTCATTGTCAGATCTCTCGTGACTTCCATTGGGCTTAAAGTGGAAAATAATTTCAAATGGAAAGTAAAAAGCAGTGTGCGTTGACCATGCCAGGATGTCCATTCAGCATCAGGTGCTAACTGCTCATGCCATCCGTGCAGATTGCCAGACAATGTCAGAGCAAAAAGACTATTGCTCTGAGCTTGGAAATATGGTGGAGTGGCAAGCAGCAGGGAGAGGGCCTCCCCCCAGCCCACCAGGAGAGTAAAGACACAGCGGACTACACAGTTGGTAAGAGGTTGGAATCAGCACCCCCTACCAGAACACTGACTTGCTGTGAGGGGAGCACAGCTTGAACCTGCTGCAGAACCATGCAAGATTCAAACCCACAGAGGTCAGGGAGTTTTACTCCGGCCTCGCAGCCAGAGACCAGCCTGAACCACAGTGGACTACAGCCGGCTGGCTGAGAGTAATTGACTGATCTGCACGCTGCAGCCCACGTCATCTACCAGTGAGTGACAGCAGATACATGCTGAAGGAAAGTGAAAAGGCTATGAGCCTGGCCTACAGTGTGCGTGCCCCTGAAGCGATCTGAAGAGTCTGTTCTCACCCACTTCAGGGCCTCTGTGGGCAGTGATAGAGCTGCCCGCCTTGCAGACCCTAGTAACAGCTCTGAGGAGGAGGTGCCAGGGCACAGGGCTGGGGCTCAGCTTTGTGGAGCTAGAAGGAGCGCCTCTCACAGGCTGCTGTGCTGATGGCAGCAGGTATGGTTGTTAACTCCAGCTGGTGGAGAGAGTCTGCTACTGTTCTCTTGTTGCACTTTCAGAGACTTCCTGTCACCATGGGTGTGGCATATGGCCCTTGAGCCATACCCTGATCATGTTGTTTTTTTAAAAAATTCTCCCCTGGGTATCTGTATCAATTATTATTATTTATTTGTTTATTCTTTGGTACAGGGATCGAACTCGGGACCTTGCGCTTGCGGTTCTTTCCAGGGTGAAAGGAAGAGTGAGCAGTTACAGTTGTCATTGTATTTAATGTATTTTAAACAATAAAGAGTTGGCAAGCCGGTTCATTTCCAAAATTTAAAAAAAATTGCTGCTTTCCAAACTTGTTCATGGTCTTGTCCTGTGGAATTCATTGCCTTGAAGGTCGTGTGGACCAACATGATCACATGATTGTGTCACGGGAGAGTGTGAAGCCCAAAGAGTTCCCTCAGCTTTCTCTGGCCTCAGGCGTGAGCCTGCCTCGCAGAGCAGACACTGCTTCTGCCTGGTCTTTTAGAACCCTCAAGCAGACATCGCTGCATTTACTCTCTAGGGTTCACCTTGGGACCCACAATGGACTGGCAGAAGGTGGCGGAGACCTCAGACCCTGTGCCAGCACAGGTATTGCATCCCCAGTGTTGGGAGGCCAAAGTGGATAGGGGTCAGGGTGCACAGGGGTGAGCCGCTTCCCCATGAGCCATGTGTGGCAGGACTGTAATCCTCCCACTTGGGAGGCTCAGGCCAAGAAAGTGTGGATCCTCAGAGGGTGACAATGTATGATCGGAAAGCAAAGCTCGCCTCCGCATTGCCTCATAAGCAGCAGTGGCAGGATTTCATAAACACGCCATGAGGACCAGCTCTCTGAATCAGCCCGCGTGTCTACAACTGCTGCAGCCTAGCCTGCTCAGAGTTTCTCAAACAACATTCTTTCCTCTTGATTTTCAGCAAGTGAATTAAGCTTATTTTAATGCCTCCACTTTTTGTAATTCATTAGTGCTATGAAGCATACCAGCTTCGGGAAGAGCTTTGCTGAATTTGCCTTGGTCTTTTCCTCTCTATAGCTCTCTTAAAGATTGTTATCTTATGATCATTTTATAGCTTTTACTTTTTTATTAACGTATGTTTGTGATACATAGTAATTACATTTATTTTGAGGAATTAGTATGTATATATCATATCTTTTTTGTCCCTTCTCCCCTACCCTACTCTGCCCCTTCCCCAGATCCTTCTCTATCTCCAAAAAACCTACCTCCCTATTTCTTATCATCTTTCTAGTCTTAAGTAAATTTTAAAAGTGAGTTCATCAGAATTTTTGTTATGCTGAAGTCCAGGGTTCAGAAACTCGCAGTTATCCCTTGATCCGATCCGTGAATTGCACAGCTATGAAGGTATCTAGTATAATTTCCAAGTAGGAAAATGTGGGAAAAGGAGAGATTTAAAATAGATATATTGGCTGGGGAGGCAGCTCTGTGGCACAGGGCATGCTCAACATGTGCAATGCCCATGTTTCAATCCCCAGCATCATCAAACACACACACACACATGCACGCACATAAATGGACATATCAACTGGAAAGTAAAGCAAGTTTTAATGACTTGCTTTTTTTTCTTTGTAACGCTACTTCTAAGATTTAGCCTAGAAATAAGAATACATCTTACCTAGCTTGCTTTATGGTTTCTAGAGTGTGAATCCTGGCATTGCATGGTTCCTGGTGATCTCTGTTTCTGTTTTGGCAGTTCTGGGGCTTGAACCCAAGACCTGGTGCACATCAGGCAAACACTTTACCCCCAAGCCACATCCCCAGCCCTTGGATCTGTTTCTGATGCAGAGGCAATGCTGTGTAACATGTAGTCATGTGGCATCCAGGATTACGTGGTTTCTGTCCATACTTCTGTTTTTGATAAACAGAAGTAATGTTTACTTGAGTGGAAAGGTAACCAGTGGTTTCTAGGGAGTGACAGTGCTCATCGCAGAAAAGGAGTAGGAGTCCGAGGTTAGGAAGAAAAGGCACTAGTCACAAAGCAAAGCAAAGGATACAGATAGCTACTCACTCTTGTCTACACTGGCTCCTACCATTCTGCATTTATTCCTTTGTGCATTTATTTTCTATGTCTTTTCTTTTTGCAGTGCCTGCAGTTGACTCCAGGGCCTCATGGATGCTAGGCAAGTACTGAGTGGCATCTAGCCCTCCCATTATATTTTTTGTCTAGGTTCCTGGCTCTCTGTTTTGGTCTGTTTTCTTTTCAGCTTTAATTGAGTTTATTGGTACATTTTAGGGATACATTACAGTTACATTCATTATTGGGATGTTGTACCTTTACATGACAGGTCTTGGTTCTCATTTTTTTCCCCTTGTTCCTGCCCTCCCTTCACCCCCTCCTCCCCTCCCCATTTACAAACACTGTATTTCCATCTTTTCATTATCTCACATTTTTTTTCTTTTCCCTTATTACCCTTCCCCTACCCATCCCACCTTCCCTACACCTTTAACCCCTTCCTTCCCATTTACCAATGTCAGTAATCTTATTAGGATCTTATGTATTATTGCAGTTTATTCACACCAGGGAAACTATTCGGTATTTACACATGTGTGATTTATTTATTTCACTTAGGAGTATATCTTCAATATGTGGAACATTTTTTCATATATTTACTTGCTGCTTTTACTTCTTTGTCTGAGAAATGTCTGTTCATTTTGGATGCCCATATTTGAATCAGGTCTTTATATTTGGGGGAGCTGAATGTTTTTAGTTCTTTACATATTCTAGATAATAGTCCTTTGTCTGAGGAGCAGTTGGTAAAAATTTTTTCCCACATTGTAGGTTGTCTCTTAGTTCTACTGATGGTTTCTTTTGAAGTACAGAGAAATAATAGTCCTTTGTCTGAGGAGCAGTTGGTAAAAATTTTTTCCCACATTGTAGGTTGTCTCTTAGTTCTACTGATGGTTTCTTTTGAAGTACAGAAGCTTTTTAATAAGATGAGATCCCAGTTGTTGATTCTTTCTGCTAGTTCCCGTGCTACTGAGGATTTGTTCATAAAGTCTTTTCCTATGCCAATGTCTTCCAGAGTTCTGCCTAACTTACCTTCCAACAAGTTTAGTGTTTCTGTTTTAATATTTAGATCTTTAATCCTCTTGGATTTTAATTTAGTGCATAGTGAAAGATAAGGGTCCAGTTTTAATCTGTGGCAGGTTGAAATCCAGTTTTTCCAACACCATTTATTAAAGAGGCTATCTTTCCTCCACTGAGGATGGTCAGCTCCTTTGTCAAAGATGAGGTAGCTGAGTACATCTGGATTTGTTTTTGTGTCTTCCAATCTGTTCCACTGATTCTCAGGTCTGTTTCTTTGCTAGTACCGTGCTGCTTTTATCACAGTGGCTTTGTAGTATAGTTTCAAATTGGGAATTGTTATACCCGCTGCCATCTGTCTGTTGCCTAGGATGGCTTTTGCTATTCTAGGTCTCTTATGCTTCCAAATGAATTTTTGGATTCTTTTTTCTAGTTCTGTGAAATATAGTGTTAGGATTTCAAATGGCCTTGCATTGAATCTGTATAGCAGTTTTGGTAGTATGGCCATTTTCACTATGTTGATTCTTCCTACCCAGGAACAGGGGATATCTTTCCATTTTTCTTATATCCTCTTCAATTTCTTTTTTCAGAGTGCTATAGTTATCAGTGTAGAGATCTTATGGTTCTTTTGTTAGATTGATTCCTAGATACTTCATTTTTTTGGATGCTATTGTAAAACGAATTGTTTACCTTATTTCTGTCTCAGTGAGTCTGTTATTTGTGTATAAGAAGGCTTTTGATTTTGGGGTGTTGACCTTGTATCCAGCTACTCTGCTGAATCTGTCAATTAAGTCTAGAAGTCTTTTGGTGGAGTTTTTTTGTGTCTTCAATGTAGAGTATCATATCATCAGCAAATAATGACAGTTTAACTTCTTCCTTTCCTATCTTTATTGCTTTAATTTCTTTCTCTTGTCTAATTGCTGTGGCTAATGTTTCCAGAACTATATTGAAAAGGAGTGGTGATAGTGGGCATCCTTGTCTTGTTCCTGATTTTAACATGAAGGTTTTCAGTTTTCAGCCATTTAATATGATGTTGGCTGTTGGTTTTTCATAGATAGCCTTTATTAAGTTGAGATATAGACCATCTATTCCAATTTTTTGCAGGGTTTTTATCATGAATGGGTATTGAATTTTGTTGAATGTTTTTTCTGCATCTATCGAGAGGATCATATGGTTTTTGTCCTTGACTTTGTTAATATAGTGTATTACATTTATTGACTTATGTATGTTGAACCATGCTTGCATCCCTAGAATAAATCTGACTTGGTCAGGATGTGTGTATGATCTTCTTGACGATCCTCTGTATTCTGTTTGCTAGTATCCTATTAAGGATTTTTGCGTCTATATTCATTAAGGAGATTGGCCTGTAGTTCTCTTTTTTAGTTGCCTCTTTCCCTGGTTTGGGAATCAAAGTGATACTTGCTTCCAGGAATGAATTTGGAAGTATTGCTTCCCTTTCAATTTCATTGAAAAGTTTGAAGAGTAATGGCAGTAGTTCTTCTCTAAATGTCTTGTAAAATTCAGCAGTGAATCCATCAGGGCCTGGGCTTTTCTTTGTTGGTAAAATTTTAATTACATTTTCAGTTTCACTGACTGTAATTGGGGTGTTTAAAATGTTGTTATCTTCTTTGTTCAACTTTGGTAATTCATAAGTATCTAAAAATCTTTCCATTTCTTCTGTGTTTTCCATTTTATTGGAGTACAGGTTTTCAAAGTAGGTATTAGTGATCCTCTGGATTTCTGTTGGATCTGTTATGACTTCACCTTTTTCATTCCTGATTGCATGGATCTGAACCTTTTCTTTCCTTTTTTTGATAAGATTAGCTAAGGGTTTGTCAATTTTATTTATTCTTTCAAAAACCCAACTCTTTGTTTCATTTATTTTTTGTATCATTTTCTTAGTTTCCATTGCATTGATTTCTGCTTGAATCTTTATAATTTCTTTGCTTGTTCAAGCTTTGGGTTTTTCTTGCTCTTGTTTTTCTAGGAGTCTAAGATTCATCACTAGGTTGTTTACTTGAGCTCGCTCTGTTTTCCTAGTGTGGGCATTCAGTGCTATGAATTTTCCACGTAGAACTGCTTTCATTGTGTCCCATAGATTCCTGTATGTTGTATTGGCATTTTCATTTATTTGTAAAAACTGTCTAATTTCTTCTTTAATTTCCTGTGTAATGCATTGATTGTTCAGGAGAGTGTTGTTCAGTTTCCATGTGCTTGTGAAGTTCCTACAGTTTCTTGTGCTATTGATCTCCAGCTTGATTGCACTATGATCTGATAATATACAGGGGATGACTTCAATTCTTCTGCATTTATTCAGACCTGTTCTGTGAGCCAATATGTGGTCTATCTTGGAGAATGATCCATGTGC